GGTTGAGATTCACCATAAACAAATGATCCCAAGTCCAATGGAAAAGATAAAAAATGCCCTTGGAGAGCTGCCATGTCTACAGAAAGGGGACATGTGGGGACCTTTCTGAAAGGACCCTGTAATAGTCTGCCAAAATGGAACGGTCAAATTCCAGAAACAATCCTCATCAGCAGCCTGGGTTCATTCTAAAAAACAGAGCTTGTCGCTTTACTTTTAATAGTTTAGGTTGCCATGCCAACTGGAGCTGCTGTTTAAATTGATGGGAAAAGGAAAAAAAAAAAGAAGTGTTCCTTCCTACACAAACCTTTCAGCGGGGGTTCACAATTAGTCCTTAAAAACATGAAAACGCATAGCACTGGAGATATGGTAAACATGGTATTTATATTTAAACCTGTCAGGATGGGGACACACTAAACCCTTGGTTTGTATGTCCTCAGTACAATGCCCCTTGCCCACTACCAGTGCCCTGGGAATGAGATAAGAACAGGAGATATCGTGTGGGTACACACAGAGACAGAGAGTGGCCGCCTCTGCCGGAGGCATTGCTCTGAAAAGGCTGGTCCACGCATGGCTGCACAACACATCTGCTGCCCTAGGGGACAACGTCGGGAGGAGAGGAGACCATGAGGAAGGCAAACAGTGGGGTCTGCTGTGGATGTGCTGATCCATGTTGAATGGGCCCAAGAACAGGGAGGAAGGTAGGGAAATACAAAGCCCTCGTCTCTGACCACAGCCCGATGGGTGTTAACTCTCCTATTCACCCAGGGTCTTAGTTTCTGTGAAGAAAGAGCAAATGGTGGTGTGGTTAAAGTGCTTGGCTGTGAACTGAGAGGTTGGCGGTTCAAACCCACCAGCCACTCTACATAAGATCCATGTGGCACTCTGCTTGGGAACCCTATGGGGCAGTTCTACCCTGTCCTACGGGGATGCTCTGAGCTGGGATTGATTCAACGGCACTGGGTTTGGAACAGGAGATGGATGCAGGGTCTCCATGACAGTCAAGAGGACCTGATCCATGGCTGGATCCCACTAGCAGGGCTCTGGATGGAGTCAGCCCAGGCGGCCTGGTGTGGACCCTCAAGTTCTAGGCTTTTTGCCCAACCTCTGTTCCTCCCACGCCTGTTGCACCCCCAGGCCTCAGACCCTCACACCTCCAAGATCTTGTGGATAGAGTGTGTCCTCAGTACGATGACTTTCTCCCTATCAGGCTCTGAAGTTCCAATTCACGTAGCAGCTGTTCACAGTCTTTCTCCGGCGCTCCCATCTAGCAAACTCTGCTGCAATTGACATACCCAGTTCACTGGGCACATCGCATGCCTTCCTGTATCTTAATTGACTAGGTCTTTTCTAATCAGTTACATTTTCATGCGTTTTTCAATCAGGTCTCCTAATTAGATCGATGTCTCTTGAAGGCAAAATCACTTTCTCGGTGTATTTTGGTGTTTCCGGTGGGTCAGGAACTCTGTGCATACTGCTCTAGCAGCAGCAGAAGCAGCACACACTGGGCACTGAAGGAGAGCTAAGCGCTAGATTATGCTCTGAGTATTTGAGGTGAATTCTAATTGAACAGAATCCCCGACATTTTCTGAGATCTGTTTGATGATCATCTCTATTTTACGGGAGAAATGGAGGGACTTGTCACAATTAGGTGACAGATCCAAACCTCAACCCCAAGCTCTCTGAGCCTAGGCCCCCACCCTGGGGACATATGAGGCTGCTGACCTGGACTAAACGTTGATGCTGAAGAGGCAAGAATGGGATGGGGGGATTGCAAACAAAAGGGAGGAGGGTAAGGGGGAATAGTGGGGAGGGTAAGGGGGAATACCCACAATACAACAGCCAGTGTTACATCAACATGTGCGCATGCATTCATAAAAGACCCATGAAGAGGAGGTCTCCAAATTGCCAACAGTGGTTACCCCAGAGCAGTGGGAAGCTAGCTGACTTTTCTTTCCTCTGTGCACCGGTTTATCTGAGTCTTCAAGGAGTCTGCAGTTGTTGCATACGACAGAAACGTACACAATAAAGTCAGTTTCACCATGGGAAGAAAACCAAAACCAAACAAAAAGAGAGGGAGGGTAAAAGGCAGCAGGAAAACAAACAAACAAACAAACAAAAAGAATTTCTGCTTCTGAGCAAAAGGGCAGCGTACCACTCCTGTGCTTTACCCAGCTCCAGCTCCGGTGCAGGAGATTTTGACAAGGCAGCGTGGCATCCTACTGGGACCAATGACAATAGGAAGAATCACTAACATCTGTAGGCCCCAGAGAAGGAATCTGTTGCTACTGTTGTAATTAGGTGCTGCCCAGTCTGTCCCGACACATAAGGACCTTGGTAGGGTTTCTGAGAAGCGAGTGGTGGGTCTGAACCACTGACATTGTGGCCAGCAGTCCGGTGCTTATCCTACAGCACCATACCAGGACTCTAAGAAAGAAAGGAATATAGGAAGCATAAAATCCATCTTAACCTCAAAAAAGCAAAAACCAAACCAGTTGCTGTCAAGTTGATTCCAAGTCCAGGCCACCCCGTGAGTTTTTTTCATAGTAGGACTGTGCTCCATGGGGTTTTCCAGGCTGTGACCTTCCCAAAGCCAGAGGCATCTCTGAATGGGTTCAAACCATCAACCTTTCAGCTAGTATCTGACCACTTAACTCTTTATGCCATCAAGTCCTGAGGGAATGGAAGTCCAAGCTGAGAAGGAAAACCAAACCAAAAGAAGGCCAAATGGATTCAAAACCCCAGCAGATGGGGGAAAGAGACACTGATGTGGCCTGGACCAAGACACAGAGGGTCCATGCTCAGCAAAAGGTGGACCGGGTTATCCAGATGCTGGGAATGCTCATCCTTCCCATGACACTTCCTGTTTTGGTTAAGAGATCTGGACAACATGATGGTCAGATGTTTGCTGTGAGGACACTCCTATTGTATGGCAAGGTAGAAAGTGCAGGAAAGGCAGGAGTCGGTACTGAAACCCATTGTTAGCCATTGCAGAACCAGAGTGGTCTGAAAGGACAGTAACTGCCTGTGTGCTTGTCTGCCTCCAGCTGCAGTGAGGGTAGGTGCCACGCTTTGTCATGGTTGCAGCCCTAGTACTTAATCACAGCTCCTGCACAGAACAGGCCAGGGCATCTACGAGGGGACTTCAAAACGCTCACGGGGAAATCCTGTTACCTGTTCGCTCCATTTTTCCATGGACTTTTTTGAAGCCCCTTTGTACACATGTGCTTAAGAAATGAATGTCTCCATTCTAAATATCTGATCAATTGATTTGTATTTTTAACCGACAAAGCACAGCTCCTCTTTCTCCCATGCTCTCACTATAACACCTTCCAGGCTACCTGTGGTGCTGCGGCCACCGTTTTGAATGGGCCATGTATGATAAAATTCTGACTTTCAAAGACTCAGGCAACCAAGCCGACTCAGTGGCCTGTGTGTGTAACATCCCCCCCATAAGGCAGATGCTACGTTGGATAAAAAGATGATTATCATCTGGGTAAACAACACCGGAGCATTCTGGTGCGGCTGGCTCACAAAGGAAGAGATGACTCCCAAAGTCACTCATGGAATGATGAGAAGTCCATAGGCAAGGGCCAGCCGGCCTGTCCACTATGCTGACCCCCTCAAAGTCCTCACACCAGTTTCAGACCTGGGCAGATTTCATGTAAAGGAAACGCTATGTTGCTAAAGGATGGGGTAAAAGTACACGTTCAAACCACACTCAACCCTGAGCCCAAAAAGATGGTGGGAAGTGGTCGGTCTGTGGGAAAGCATTGCCGGAAGAGAACCCAGCAGTGAGCTGGACGGCACCTCCCCCAGAGATGGGCCCATGGTGGATACAGGAGACAGGCACTAAGGAGGTAGGAGGAGGGAGCCTTCCACAGTACAGAAAACCAAGAGCCCCATGGGATCACCATCTGGGCTGATCACATTGTCCCAGGGGGTGTACCAATGTGTGACAGGGGCATCTGGACACATGGCTTGATTTTGGTGGATTATGAGGGGTTATTTTGGGGTTTTTTTGGTATGGTAGGCTGAGTAACCATTGCCCTGTACAGTCACCAAACCAAAGATTCAAAAAAGCTTCATGCCACACAGCCTCATCTGTCCCCTGAGCTCCTGTCCAATGCGGAGCTGCACCAGCAGACTAGCGGGTGAGACGGGTGCTAATCTGACTTCAGCCAATCTGTTACTGTATCTCATTCCCTGTGCTGGTGCTCAGAGGCTGTTGCAATAGGCATAAATTTAGAAAGAGATAGATAAATAACATGAAAAAGTTCATTTTCACCCAAAGCACTGTTGTTTCCTTTCTCTTCCTTGTTGTTTTTGCTCAAGAAAAGACAAAATGATCTTGTTGCTAACTGAGCTCTGACTGGGCAGCAGCGTTAAGGATGCATTATATGGTAACGCTGCTGCCCAGCCTAGGATTAACCAGCTTCTTCTGAAACTTGCAAAACAGTCCAAATGCTTCTGAGAAACTGGGGTGTAAGATGACAGGTGGACACACGCAGCAACTGGCCCAGAATCTAGAATGTACTAGGCTCGCTGAACCAGAGCAAGACTAAAAGGAGCCGGTGTTTCCTCCCCATGAAGCCGCTGGCACCAGCTAACCTGACAGAACACATGACCTGGAACTTTATAGAGCGACACGCTGATTTTCAGTGAAACAGGTTTCTGAGAAAGTGAGGAACACAGACCACAGACTTTGGGGCTCTGATGGAAACTGTTCTGACAGAGAAACCACTTGAGAAATGTTTGCCTTCCCTCACAGTAGAAACTCCCGGCTTGGTAGGTCTGTCAGTTCACTTGGCATGAATGGCAGCTGGTCGATCCCATCATGTGATCATTTAACTAGAACCTCCGTAACAGCTAAGGGACTGGACCAAAGTGGTGTGGCTGGGAGTGACAGGGCCTGGAGGGGCTCAGGACCTCAGCTCACGGCTCTTCCAAGTGCTCGACACCACTGCCACCCCCCACCGCCAGCAGGAAACCAGACCAGGTACCTCGGACAGCATCTCATATTGGCCTCTTCTCCCCAGAGCGATGGTCAGCAAGTCATAGACCACCGAGGCGCTCTGCAGGCTGATGAGGCGGTCGCTCCTGTGCTCGGGGATCCTGCTCAGCACAGCGTCCCGGTTGGCCTGAAACAACAAAGGCGAGAAGCAGATGGAGAGCCAGTCCGTGTACACGGCATCACTTCATGTCCTCCTGCCTCTCGAGTTCACTCATGGCCTGCAGGCAAGGAAGCAGGGGGCTGTCGGTTCGCCAAGAATCCCCAGGGCACCAGGGCACACACTGACGTCCTGGAAGGACCGTCCCAGAGGATACCTTTCCTATTGGTGGGCCTTTGAAGGAAACTTTGAGAGCCAGTGCAACACAGGGTGATTTCACCAGGACTTAGACAACCTCTCTGCAGACGTGGTTGTGCTCTGGGACAGCAGGACCAGACATTAAGGGAGACCCCACTGCCCCTCACATTTAAGTCCTGCTTCTGCTCTACATTAAAGAGCAGAGAAAACTCCCAGCTGCACATTTCCCATCACCAAAGAGGATCATCAAGTGCCACTGGTCTTACCAGGAGGTTTCATACATTCCCTCCATCACCAGGGCTAACCTTCAAGTCCTTGTCTGACCTCTTTGTTAGAATACAACACAAAGACGAATTTAATCTTGGTCAGGGAAGCACAGAACAGATATATGAGGAGAAGCAGGAAGCAAACAGATCTTTATTTTAAATGATAATGCCACAGATGACCCAAGAGAACACCTTGCCAATTTCACATCTCTCTCCATGGCTTAGCACAGAAAGGAACACACTCAAGCTTATTAACCTCATCCATCTAGAAATCAGCGAGGGACCCAGGTAGCTCAGTAGCTAAAGCACTCAGCTACCAATCTAAAGGTGTGTGGTTCAAACTACAGAGAAAGGCTGGGCATGAGTTGGAATCAACTCGACAGCGATTGGTCTGGGTTTGGATCTTGAAACCAAGTGCTCTTCACGGCAAGTTGCTTTCACTGCTTTCGAGATTTAATTTCTTTACAGGTTCCTGGAGACATATTACCTGCATTACAGGTTCATTTTCCCTGAGCGGAGAGGTCAGGTGCCAGAAAGTTAAATGTCACCTGCCTGTTTCTGCCTGCTAATTAACAGGTGTCCCCAGAGACAAGTATGAGCTCCTTGGTCTTTACTGTGATGGTGGCAGGTGGGGAGCAGGGGCCGCTTACCCAGGCAGCCTGATGTTTCTCTTCCTGCCTGACATTCAGAAGGCCTTCCCTCTCACTAATGAGGCAAAACACGCTGGCTTTGTGTGTGAGCCCAAGGCACTGATTAACAGCCACCCATGAGTACTTACTCACTTTAAAACTCTCTGCTCTTAAATGTCACAGACAAATAGGAATAGGTACGACAGGCCACTTCCTACCAAGTGAGTCATCTCATATGGAAACAAGCCTACTTTTGAAGATTTCATTCGAAATTTTTCTTGGTAGGAGTGACTTTTGAACCCAATGAAAGCAGCTCGGAGGAACAAGGGATGGCTGAGAGTGGGCTCATTTGATTTATTTGGCTATAAATATTCCTTACTAAGACCAATGCCTAGAGGAGAGCAAAATGGAGCAATTATACTTTTCTGAGATTCCCAAATGATAGCGAGTGCGCTTGTTTTTTAATTTTCAGAGAAAGCCTATCAGAGGATTTTCATTAAAAAGGTAGAATAATCTTAAACAGATCCACAAATGATAAATAGCTCAGAATTTTGTCTAGCAAATATAATTCTGATAACCCCTTTCTCTTGGGGAAAACCAGAGTGACTTGCGAAGAGAGAGCAATACATTTGCAAATGACTTCTGTGGGCGGAGAGGCTTTGGACACATTTCTGTTTCTAAGTTAAAGTCAGATTCAATGCAGAATATAATTTGCTCAGACAGCAAAAGGAGGAAGAAGAAGAAGAAAAAAAGGCAATTCTCATTTTGGTTCTGAAATTGGGCACATCCATTTTCTGCTAAACTCTGAAAAATCAGAAAGCCAAAGAACACAAAGCAAGGCTTCTGGAGACAAGTTCCTTTCCATGTCTGCCTACATAGCTATGGAAGGGCTTACAGGCAGCACAAACTCATTTTGGTTGGAAACCTAGCATTTCATATTTACTAATGATGTCATTGGATTTTACCAACCCCTGAAGAGATTTTCTGAAAATTAAATACCAGGAAGCAAATCTGATAGACGCCAGAGGATCTCAACCTTGAGTATGGTTTGCTTCTAGCACTTCAAGTAAAGCACAGGAATGTTAGCGACAAGATTTTTGAGATATCTACACTTCGAGCATTTTGACACGTAGTCGTGTTGTCCAAATTCCAGAGTACAACACATGAGGCTGACAGTGGGACAAAAATATTTTCAATCAGAATTGTCCAAGAATTCTAAAAGGTCTGCTCACCAGGCACTCCCAGCATGTATACTGTAACCCACTGAGGGCATCTAACCAAGTTTACCCAAAGGAAACCGACTGGAAAGTTTGAAGAACCCAACTGAGGAGGAAAGAAGGACAGACACCAGCTGGAGATGATGGAGCACAGTGAGACTGGTTCATCTGAAAAACTTGTCACTGACGCCACCAGGTGCCAGGGCTCCTTCTCTGGTTGTGCCAAGGTAGAGAAGTGCATGTAAATGACACCATCCTGTGTTTCCAACGGGATACCAAGGGAACACAGGCCAAGGAGACTACGGTTTCCTTCAGAGAAGTTGAGGTGTGGTGCGGTGGTGCCTTGCTCACCATGGTCTTGTAATCCCACCAAATGGCTGGAAGAGACAATGGAAATGAGGTGCTTGTGACCCACCTAGGGTATTGGACAGCTTGCTAATAATGCAAGTAAGGTGCCTGGCACCCTTATGGAGGGTGAGGTTATGCAAATAAGGTACATGGAGCCCTGATGAGGGGACTGGTCAGTTTCTGCCATCCTATGAGGCATTCCAGAAGCAGAAAGGGGTACCTCACTACCACCAAGAAGAAGAAATGGGAAGGGAGAGCGTCTTTTTGGACTGGGGTCTGTGCACCGAGAACCTCCTAAACCTAGGAGCCAAGAGAGAACGGGAACATCAGAGAAGGCACAGGATGGGGAGATACAGCGGCAGAAGCAGAAGACTTAGCAGGTCATTCTATCAGCTCCTGGTCCAACGACCAAAGGCTCAGTGACTAATTCCCCAATCCTCCCTCCGGCCACTCCAAACTCAGACCCTGTGTCTACGTTCCTCTTCAGAGGCGTCCTTTCCCCTTTGAAGGAGTCCTGGCTATAGTTTGACTACACACAATCAGCCTTGCTCATTAAACACTTGGCAGGTGAATGAAGGCACGATAATACGCGCTATCTCTAAAGGAGGAGAAGTTCTACACTCCAGGTTGTTCTACACCAAGGGACACTGTTGTTAGCCTAAGAAGTCAAAAACATCTTTCTTTTTAACACCCCTACTCGTTTCTCCCACACAGGAACCCCCTCTATAAAGTCTTCTTCTCTCAAGAACAGAGTACCCATGTTCAAGGGGTCGCCATATTGAAAAAGGAACTACCCGGGCAAGAGGAAGAAAAAGGTAAAAACACATTTCACTTACCATCGATTCACTGATCAGCAATAACAACAGGGCTTCCTCTGTATTTTCTTGAGGACAAAAAATGCTGTACATATTAAAAAAAAAAAAAAAAAAAATCAACTGTGATATATGGCAAATTCCAAAATAACATAAAATATATGGCTATGCACAGAAATGAATCAAGATATTTATATGCAATCCTTGAAAAATATTGCATAATCTGAAAACTTGAATTAACTTGCTTAATTCTAGGGTTATTTATGGAATGTGTACTTTCTAGCTATACATTTTAATGACATAAAACTGTAAAAATCAAGTTAAATGCCCACGTAAGGAATGAACCTATTAGAGAGACAGCAACTCAGATCACAATTAAATGTTAGCTAAAGAATACAGGTAGCGTAGTGGTTACGAATCAGGCTGCTAACCTCAGGGTCAGCAGTTCGAAACTACCAGCTGTTACGCAGGAGAAAGATGAGGCGTTCTGCTCCCGTAAAGATTTACAGACTCAGAAACCCTGTGTGAGATTGCTATGAGTCAGAACCAACTCCACGGCACATAACCACCACCACCAAAGAATACAAATTTGATCCTAAACCCATTATGGAGACAGAAATTGTAAGATTTCACTAAACAGTACTCTTCGGACTTGGTAATTGGCAGAACTTATATTGTCATTCAGATGAAATGAAAACCTGGAAATAGTTTTTTGTTTGTGTGTTTAAATGCCATCAAGTCAGTTCCGACTCACAGGGCCCTATATAGCAGCTGGTGAGCCTGAACCACCAACCCTGTGGTTTAAATCAACCTTGCAGTCCAGAGACTTAATCCACAGTGCCATTTAGAGTTTGAATAGTTTCTCTAACACTGTAAGAATTTAGTGAGGTTTCCCTTACTTTAACATACATGTTTTATTATGGGTGCCATGCAATGGCTGTTTTCATCTATTTTTATGGAATTTGGCTATACTCTACAATCTTAAGTTGAAAGAAAAAGCTTTTAAAGTCAAGGTGGCTCAGAATTACAGAGCAATAAAAACCCACACATAACTCCCATCTGCCTTCCCTCTAGGCTGTTTCTCTGTGCTTGGAGTGCTTAGATTGCGTTCTATGACTGAACATGGTTAAGAGAACTCCCTGAAGACAGGTAGGGAAAGACGACATTTCCATCGGCCTTGGGGTACCATTGGAGTCCTGGAGTGGCACTGCAGGGCAATGCACTGGACCACAAGGTCCAAACCCACCAGCTACTCCTCGGAAACCCTATATAGATATCGACTCAATGGCACTTAACAACAACAACAAGGTAATGTTACAAAAACTGGGACGATTTTCTAAGAACGTGGCAAAAAAAAAATAAAATAAAATCGTTACCTACGTCATTAGAAATACTTGTACTCTCTGAAGAGCTGGCAGGTTTGATACTGCATCAGCACACACACAAAAACCTGAGGAAACAGGACAGTGTCCCTGGTGCTTGTGCTGCAACTCTGCATGGCCAGAGTCATGTGATGGCCTCACCTGTGGAGCATCCGTCCTCTGTTACTCTAACCCAACTGACTAACGTGTTAGGAAAAGACAAGGGCTGAGAAGGAGAAGCGAGACTTTGGGAGGTCAGGGTGCAGTCACTTCTTTATGGAGCCTATTTAAGGTGGTCAGTGTTTCTCAGAAGCTGGAATACTTCTCTCCTCTTCAACTCACAGACACAGCCTAAAAGATGCTGAATTCTGAGTTCTGGTGTGGCGCTGTAGGATAAGTACCAGACTGTGAACCACAAGGTCTGCAATTCAAACCCACCAGCTTCAGAAACCCTGTATAGGGTCACCATGTGTCAGAATCAACTCAATGGCACTTAACAACAACAACAAAATTCAGAAACACAGCCTAAAAGGCTTTGAATTTCAAGGTCTTTGCACAAGGATTACCTTCTTTCTCTCCTGTCTATTAATGCATACACACATCTTTATATATCTGACCGCCATCCCTGATACCCCAGCTTGTGCCGACAAGTATCTGGAACCATGCAAACGAAGCAGCAGCTTGGAACATTTCTTCATAGCTTGCCACTTCTGCATTGTCCAGATGAATGGAAAAGTGAGAGAACCCATGCTAATTGTGAATTAACAGCGGCCAACTCCATCCCTGGATCATCTCCAAATTCCATTTGAGCCATCCGGCCTGCCTAAGCGCTTGGTCGGGTTATTTTTACTAGAGTTGCTAACAAGTTTCAGATTAACTCAGTCTAATTCCTCTTCCTCTACTCTTCCTTTCCCGGAAGGGAAGATGGGTACTCCTGAGTTCAGCAAAGACAAGGGCCGGCAGGAAGAGGAAGTGTAGGGGAAAGAGAGGGCGCTTTTAAGGGGCATGCCTGAAAACTAGAGTGCTCCAGATCTATGAATTCTCTAGACTGTTTCTGGCCACTCCTTCCCGCTTCCCTGCTAGGGTTGAGTAGAGCTGGAGCAGAGTGGAGTTCAGGGTAGAAGGCCAAACTGTGTGGGGTGACATTCTCCTCTTTGGGAATCAATAGTCTCATGGAGAGAGATCCTGGGGTGCCAGGCCTGAGCCTTGAGGAGTGGGAAAATGAGGAACCCAAAAAGTGCCACAGAACCAGGAAATGCTTCCTTCTGCCATACACAAGGATGTCTTGAGTCAGAACTGACTCGATGGCAATTAACTACAACAGACCCGGAACAAGCTATGTAAAGGGCAGAGGAGGAAATCCAAGGAGCCAGTGAGAACAGAGGATCAGTGGACAGTGAGGACAAGTTCCTTGGCAGGCTGGCGGGGAAGCACAGTGGCAGTGTATGGGGCTAAGAAGGGACGGTCTGAGGTCTAATCATGGCCATGCTACTGACTCACCAGTAGCCTTCAGGCAAGGTGCCCACTGTCTAACTAAGGCTGAATTTACCAACTCAAATGTTATGTGACTCAACAAAGGAGTCTGGGGACAAGGACAAGAATCCTCAATTATAAACCAATCATCATGGTCTTGCCAGAGCTCCCAGATAATAGCTCTGTCTAAAATTTTTCCTAGATAGGAAAACTACTTCAGGAAGAGCTGCATGTGATAGAGTCATGCACATGAATTCAACCCAACTTGACCTGTCAGCATTTGATCTCTGCTTTCCTCACCAGCTGGGAAGTGAAGACTGGGAGTCTACGAGTAACTACACAACCTGGGAGTCAAAGCAATTTAGAGCAAAGGGGACCTTGAGCACGGCCAACCCGCAAAAAAGCTGATGTGTATTTAATTACGACATCAACGCTAAGGCCCAATAATTGTGCCAACGTCACCCTAATAGGCCTGGCTGTGATACCACTCGGGAAATTCCAGGAGAAAGACAACTCTGAACCACAGCCAATCACATAAGAGCTAAAGAATGAACGCCAAGAATGACAAAAGACTGGCCCCCACACCAAGTTACACCAAAACAGAATCGCAGGATGGTGTGGAAGAATGGAAGTTCCAAGGCAGGAAGAGGATTTCAATTCTAAAGTAAGGGTACCTCTTGATTATCAGGATTTGCTGCTTAGGCCTCTCCACAACTCGTCTCTTTTTTGTCAAACCACATCGGTCAAAAATTCTCTTATTATAAAAACCTTATACCTGATACCAAAATCAGACAAAGAAAACTACAAATCAGTATTTCTGACTAATATCGATGCACAATCTTCAGCAAAGCACTAGCCATCAAATCCAGTAACAAATAAAAAGGATTTTATACTGTGACCAAGTAGGACTGATTCCAGAAATGCAAGGGTGGTATAACACTGGAAAATCAGTTAATGTAATACACCGTTATCAGTAGAATAAATCACAAGAACCAATATCAATTCAATACATGCAGAAAACAATTCAGCAGAATTCAGTTAGTTTTTATGATAAAAACACTCAACAAATTAGGAAAACAAGGGAACTTTCACACTGGGTAAAGGCCATCTACAAAACCCCACAGCTAACACACACTTAATAGTGAAAAGACTAGCTGCCTCACCTCCAAGATCACAAACCTAACACTGCTGTCTGCTCTCATCACTTTTATTCAGTAATTTACTGTAGGTTCCAACCAAAGCAATCAGACTAAAAGCATCCAAATTGGCAAGGAAAAAGTAAAACTACCTCTGTCTATCTGTATGTGACACGATCATTTATACAGAAAACCTGAAATAATTCACTAAAAAAATAAAAATTAGAATCTATAATCCGTTCAGCAAGGTTAAAGGATAAAATATCAGCATACAAAAAATAAACTGCATTTCTAATAGCATTGAACAAACCAGAAATGAAAATCCCATTTATAGTATCACAATAAAAAAGAATGAAATACTTAGGAATAAATTTAACAAATGGAGTGTAAACCTTATACTCTGAAATTTACAAATCATTGTTTAAAGAAATTATAGAAGACCTAATTAGATGCCAGCCGTTCCGCGGGAGAAAGATGAGGCTTTCTACTCCTGTAATTCTTTACACCCTCGGAAACCCTGTACAGGGTCGCTATGGGTCGGAACCGACTCGACGGCACTTAACAACAACAACAACAACAACAATTAGATGGAAAGACATCCCATCTTCATGGATCAGAAGACCTAATACTGTTAAGATGATAATGCTCTCCAAAGTGATCAATACAATCTTTATCAAAATCCCATCTGCCTATTTTTGTAGACATTCACAAGTGGATCTTAAATTCAAATCAAAACAAAAGGGGTTGGGTGGCTTTTGGGGGGTTGATGAAAATATTCTAAAATTGATTATGGTGATGGACGCATACTCTGAATATAATAAAAACTATTCAACTGTATTTAAGTGTATGGTACGTGGATTACATTTCAGTAAAGCTGTTGCAGGAAGAGCAAAAACAAAAAAACACTGACAGGACAGCAGGTATTGCAAAGAAAGTTGCAATTCAGCAACCAGTCAGGGTATGGGAAGGCCTCCCTTCTTAGGAACTGCATTTTCTAGGTCTGCATTTGGGGGCGGGGAGGCTGATAGTAGAAAAGTGGAGAAGTGTGAGTGGTTCAAGTTGGGTGGTCCCAACTTGAGCTTTTCTGGCTGCAAGAGGTGAGGTCACATTAGAAGAGCAATAGAGAAACCAAGAGAGCCATCTGTTCATCAAACTGATTAGGTGCAGGGGTGAGGGAGCAAGAACTGGGTCCCTCGGTGGACCTGGAACCTTGAGTGTTAAAAAGCATCTGAAGTCAACAAGAGAAATAAAACTGGAGTCTATTTTTTAGATTGAAGTATAATTTTTTCAAAAGGAATCCCAAACCTGCTTCTAAATAGCTCATAATGGGGGCAAGGGACGGGGGACGAGAACATCATTTTTCAAGTAAGAGTTGGGGGGCGGATCTAGATGTTTCATGAACCCAGATAAGCACTAAGTCATAAACAATGACTGTGGGGTGAGTAAATGAATGTTTCAACAAAGCCATGGAACCAAGGATGAAACCAGTCTAGGGAAAAGCTAAGAAATGCTCACATTGTCTAAATCAATGCAAGAAATACAAGCTGAAGAAGACAATGACGGGGAGAAATACTGAAGAGGATAACTGCCTTAGAAATGCTGCCCTCTTTGAAAATGTGGCCATCGTCTGCAGTCACCTGGGTATTAGGTGTTAGGGTGTTAGGCAACCCCATCTCTATCAGAGCTCTCTGTGGTCTAGGGAGCAGCAGGCCAAGAGCGCAATCTCTCAACCATTCCACCAATCTGATGCCCGCCCAAGAGACTGCAGTCCCTTCCTCCATGGGGATATTCAGAAAAGGCCAAGGTACCTTGTCCTGTAGGACAGACAAAGATGTGAACTGAAGGCTTGGCCGGGAGGACTCAGGGATGAGCCAACAGTCCTTGCTGTCCCCCAGCCTTTCTTAGAGGGCTCCCTCCTCCCTCTCTGACCCCAGCACATGCTAAGGCTGCTCTGGCTCTCTGGCCCACTTTTCCCAAAGTCCCAAATTTGAAAATTACAATAAAGAGGGAAGACATTCTAAAGAAATATCACTATCCATCCAATCTCTTGCAAATGTGGCCCTTCTCCTTTTTATAGCTAGTTCTGTTTAAAACAAGTTTTAAAAGCAAAAGGACCAAGGAATTAGCAAAGCAAAGAAAAAAACAAAAATGTTAGCTCTGGCTTGCAAACAGCGTTGGCACTAATTGCTGTGTAACGCTGGGGTCCTTACAATGAATGGAGTGAGAATCCCAGAGACCACTGATGACTTCTCAGAATGGCAGGCTAGTGCTGAGGCGGGAGCCCTTTCCGACCGAAAGCGTCCCCACCAGCACGGAGTTATGGGCTGAAGTTATGAAAAGTAATGAAGAGTCTGTCAACCTATTTGACTGGTAAATGAGACTTGTTCAACTGACTCTTTGCGGAGGCAGATCTTCTAGTCATCCTAGAGTTTTCCCGAAGTCTCCCTTCTACCCACTAATCTACACATGAGGACTTCAACCAAACCACACCTATTACCATAGGGTGGATATGGCCCTGTAGTGAACTGCCCATAGGATTTCCACGGCTGTAAATGTTTACAGAGGCAAACTGCCACATCTTCCTTGTGAAGAGAGGCTGGTGGGTTCAAACAGCCAATCTTTCAATTAGCAGCCAAGTGCTGACCCACTGTACCACCACCAGGGTTCCCATCAACAGCCATACTTCTCTCCTGAGTAGACTCGAGCTTTCCGAGTGAGGCTGTAGGTTTTCGTGTTTGCTCCTTTCCGGAGTGGGTCATCCAGGGGTGACTGGCAGGGTGGGTCCTCCAGGGGGTTCCAGTAGCTCTGTTCACACATACCCCGCAGTAAGATTTCTGCCAACTGCCTGGCTATTGTCTGGGAATACAAAGCAGGAAAGGCAAAGCTATGAGTCGCTTTTCTATGATTCATTCATTCATTCATTCATTCAATATATATGTCTCAATTTTCATTTTGTTCTAGGTACTATTCCAAGACACAGATCTAGAGACTTTTTTTTTGTTAACATCTATGATGAAAATTAGGAGCCTTGGTGGCATAGTGGGTTAAGCACTGGGCTGCTAACCACAAAGTCAGCAGTTCGAATCCACTAACCGCTCCCTGGGAGAAAGATGAGGCCTTCTGCTCCTGTAAAGATGTATAGCCTCAGAAACCCTATACAGGGTCGCTGTGAGTTGGAACCTACTCAACGCCGTACAGTCACCATTACCATGATGAAAGTTATATCAGTTTATGATACAAAAGAAACAAAAATATGATACATTGGTGTGATGATATAGGATAAACACGGGACTGCCAACTGCAAGGTCAGCTGTTCAAATCCACTGAAACCCAGTACAGAGTCATTATGAGTCAGAACCAACTCAATGGCACTTAACAACAACAACAGGGCATTATAATACTTTTTAAAAAATTAAGTTCATGAACTTCAAATGCTGCCCTGCCTTAGTGATACTCTGGAACCCTAAATGTTTTCATACCTGAAACAATAACAACTTTGAGCGAAGTTCTTTTCTCAGAGCATTTACAAATCACAGGGCGGAAACATTCATTACTGCCCACCTGACACCGTCAGACAGAACTCTGCTAGGCTTGCATGCAAATGAGATCTCTTTCAACCTCATAAGGAAACTTACAATGCACCCAAATCAGGAGCTTGGGTATTTCTGATTACCACCAGGTAAAGGAAAATTTTCTGGATTATTCCCAAGCAAGCAGCATTGGCTTTCAACGACCATAAAAATATGAAGTTAAATTCACTCCTATCATCCCCAACTGAGCCATCTGTAAAGTTCTCTCTCATAAGAACACCATTTCCCGGTCCGGAACAGCTCCTGAGCTGTTTCTTGAATCTTCCAGGAGAGTCTCATTTTGATCTCATTTCACTCATATAAGCTAATGACTTCTGCTGCAAGCTTCAGCGGGCAAAAATAACCTCCACTCACGATAGCTGAGACATAAATGTTAAAAGAAGAAATCAGAAGCAAGGGGCTTCACTTCCCGATGATCTCTACCACGGAGGGTTTCTAAAACTGTAAGAGTCTTGGCTCTAGCCCATTTGCTTGTCCACGGCTAGGCAGTTTACGAAACGGATTAGGTGAGGGAGAAAGATGAGGCTTTCTGTTCCTGCAAAGACGTACAGCCTCAGAAACCTTATACAGGGTGGTTATGAGTCAGAACCGACTCAATAACACTTAACAATAACAATAGCAACAGACTGCTTAAGCTAGATTTCATAATCCAGGAGGGTATTAACCTTTCAGAGAGATTCTCTTAAAGGAGCTTTTCAGGTGATTGCATAGTTTAAAGATCTTACCTTCTTAGCGTGCTATCAATTATGAAGGACGCTTGGTGTGTCATCTGAAAGCTCGTATGAAGCTCATGAAAAGAACAGGTAAGAGAAATGGACAAGATACCATCAATGTACCTGATGGTACCTTTTACCTGTTATACTCCTACTATATTTGGGTTGTAGTTTAAATGCTGAAAACCTGTTTGTTGTTGCTGTCAGAGGTCGTTGCGTCTGCTCTGACTGATAGCAACTCTAGGCCCAACAGAACAAACCCACTGCCCGGTCCTCAACCAGCCTCATAATCGCAGCTACGCCTGAGCCCACGGCTCCATCTCATTGGAGGGCTTCCTCTTTTACACTGACCTTCTACTTCATCAAGCATATTGTCCTTCTCCAGGGACCTGTCCCTCCTGATAACATGTCCCAAGTGTGAGAGACCCAGTCTTTTCATCTTGGCTTCTAAGAAGCATTCTGGCTGTACTTCTTCCAACACAGATTTGTCTGTGTTGTTGTTAAGTGCTGCCGAGTCAGTTCAGAGCCATAGAGACCCTGTATAGGGTTTCTGAGGAGCGGCTGGTAAGCTTGAACTGCCGACCTCGTGGTTCAAACCGACTTTGCAATCCAGTGCGTTACCCCACAGAGTTACCCCAAGACTAAAACTTGTTAGTAAGCATCAAATAACTTCAGAATTGAAAGAGCGGCAGGAGTGAGGTGGTCCTGAAAGAAGGCCTGATGTTTGTGTGCACACTTGGCTGGGAAATGTACTTGGAGAGCTTCCTGCTGTGGCCTCACACCACAGGGAGTTTACAAGGCAACTTTTCAGTGTCAGGGTGGTAGCAAATGAGTGCCACCAAGTTGGTTCCGACTCACAATGACCCTGTATTATAAGGTTTCCAAGACTGTCAATCTTTACAAAAAGAGAAAACCTTATCTTTCTGCCAAGGAGCAGCTGGTAGATTCAAGCTGCTGACCTTACAGCTAGCAGCCCAACGTACAACCCACTAAGAGACCAGGGCTATTTTAGTCTCAGGAGAATACTCTAAATTTGTCATTGTCAGTGGATCTAAAACAAATCATACTGTTTTTAAGACTGATGGGCACCTGTCTTGTGAACAGCATTCACTGAAGCTTTCTGACGTCCAGTGAAAAGCTGGACACGAGCAACTTCTCACTTTCAGCAAGCAGAGAACCGCTGTGAAGCTTTTAGAAAAAGGCAGATTCTCATGTCTTATTCAGTCGGAATTCTGAGGTAGGGTGTTGTTGTTGTTAAGTGCCTTAGGGTTTCCGGAGAGCAGCTGGTGAGTTTGAACCACTGACTTTGCAGTTCAAACTGGTCCTGTGGTCCAGTGCTTTATCCCACAGTACCACACCAGGACTCATGGCAACCCTATGTGTTACAGGGTAGAACTGCTCTATTGAGGTTTTCTTGGGTGTAGCCTTTACAGAAGCCAACCACCAAGTCTTTCACCCAACAGGTGGATTCAAACTGCCAGCCTTTATGTTAGCAAACAATCCTGAACCACTTGCAACACTCAAAGACCTGAGGCAGGGTAAAGGGATGTGCAAGTTTTTCAAAGTTCCTCAGATGATTCTGAAGCACATCTTTACTTAAACACTCCAGGAATTAGAAACCATTAAACTTGGGTCACTTGGTGATCAAAGGCCTGCGTGAACCTGAAGCAATGAGCCCCCACCCCACCTCCATGTTAGACCCTAACTAGCTAACAGCTGACAACAGCCAGGGACAGTTGCAGCCACTCAAACCTTCTAGAAAAACTCTTTCACTGACCTTAGAAATAAAATATTTGAAGAGACTCTCCTCCCATCTTTAGTGAGAATCCTACATCTGAGGAATTTAAAATATTAAGATTGCCTGATTTGAAAATCCTGCACTTTAGACAATAATGGAAGATATTCTCTGATTTAGAACAATAAAAGTAGACGTGAACAGCAGGCAGAGTCTCCTGGTGAATTCATGTGCTTCCACCTTCTCATGGGAAAACTTATTCATTTTGTTAATGAAATCCTTTGTAAGTCAACAAGATGAACAAATGTCTCATGTTTAAGCAATCTTGAAGACTGGCATATATACGTGGTGTCTGGAGTTGTTGCTTTTGTTTTTGTTAACATTTTAATGTGTTTTAGGTGGAAATTTACATAGCAAATTAATTTTCCAATTAATAATTCATACCTGGCTGTTCTGTCATACTGCTTGCAAGCCTCACACTGTGTCAGAACTCTCCCAACCCCCACGTGTCTGGTTTCCCTGCCCCTCCTCCCCTTCTCCCTCTGTCGTGTGTTTGTCTCCTATAGCTGACTGCTCTGTGGAGCACGGTCTTCATGGTCTTCATTGGGGGTTCTGCTCGCTTTCCAGACCCCGGCTAGGACTTGGCTGACAAGTGGCCTCCAGGGCGGTCTTGAGTTTCAAGTTAGAAGATTGTCTTCAGACGACAGTCTCAGGGGTACACATGTGTTTTTAAAATAAGTATAAAAAGTGTTTGCTAATTTAATCAGTTACCCCATTGTGCTCCCAAATCTGACCAGTTGAGAATTATTATGGGAAGTTGGGAGCAGATCAATTTGAGAGATACGTAGCAATAGTTTTTGTCCATATTCTTGCAGGGTCTTTTCCTTAAAGAATGCTACCAATGAAATAGTTTTATTTGAACATCTTAAGACAACTACAAATCACATTAATATAAAAATAAACATCAAAGGCCAAATGAGTCCTGGGTGGCGGTAGTAATAGTGTGTTTATGTATGTGTGTTTGTGTATAAGTTGCTCACTTTGTCTCAATCCCACAATTCTAGAAAGTCCACATCTAAAAACTCTAAAGACACAAAAATGCCCTAGCTTCATCCAGAAATCTTTTCCCATGACACACGTCTCAGCCTTGCTCAAAAGAATACTCTACCGCAGCATGAAAAGGCTTCATGATCAATGGAGGGAAACAGCATGGATGGCAAAAGACAAAAGAAATCTTGCGACACTGATGTGACATGTGGCATTTACTTAGCTTCTAGTAAGCTTCCTCAGGCTTTCACCCAAACTTCCAAAGGCTACGGCTCAATCAAGCAAGTACTTAGGTGTTATTAAGGTACGTCCTCAGACAGGAAGGCAAAGGGATTAAAAAAGAAAAGAGAACTCAAGACAACAGGCAAGCTAAGCAGTTGAAGATTAACCGGTTAGTGGGACTTGGTTTCCTTATAGTTCTCTTCTGAGTTTTCCAGCAGTCAGAAGAATCAACAAACTAGGCTCTCCTTGGCATCTGCTAGTCATTGCTCTCTCTCAGCTTCGATATCAATCCTTCATCACACTGGCCTTCCAGGAGGCCTATCTGCCTTACAGGATGTATTTTGTATGTTTTAAGAGAGACAACATCATTAGCCATCAATGAACTACAAACAAAAATCTCAATGAAAGAGCATTTCACATTCACTCCAGGAATTATACCTGTGGCTACTCATAGGAGCCAACAGGACAGAGCAGAATGACCTCGCAGGGTTTTCAAGGCTGTAATCTTGATGTAAGAGTTCTGGTGTGGTGTGGACTGCTAACCTCCAGCTCGATGGTTTGAACGCACCAACTGCTCCTTGGAAACACTATACAGGGCGTCTGGTGTGGCACTGTAGAATAAGCACTGGACTGCTAACCTCCAGGTAGGTGGTTTGAACACACCAGCTGCTCATTGGAAACCCTATACAGGATCACCCTATACAACACATCTGGTATCACACTTTAGAATAAGCACTGAGCTGCTAATTACAAGGTCAGTGGTTCAAACACACCAGCTGCACCTTTGACACCTTATACAAGGGTCACTATGAGTAGGAACTCACTCGCTGACACTTAACAGCAATGAGTAGAAACCGACTCAACGGCACTTAACAACAATCTTATGAAAAAAGACTGACAAATCTTGCTTCTGCAAAGCAGCTGGTGGGTTGAACTACTGACCTTGCAGCTAGCAGTCAAGCACTCAACCACTGTGCCAACAACAGCCACTTGTTATTAAGTGCCATTGAGTCAGTTCTGACTCACAGCAACCCCATATAAGGTTTCTGAGACTGTAAATCTTTGTGTGAACAGAAAGCCTCATCTTTCTCCCGCGACATGGCAGGTGGACTTGAACTGCCGACCTTGTGGTTCACAGTCTAGTGTTTATCCTTAGAGCCACTCCCCACACACCCACTAAGATGACCATAATCACAACATAACATAAAAAGACAGATAATAAACAAGCATTGGCAGACATGGAGAAACTGGAACCGTCATAATTGCTAGTAAGACTGCAACATGGAGTAGCTGCTTAGGGAACTCGTCTGCCAGTTCCTCAAAAGGTTAAACACAGGAATACTACGTGACTCAGCAGTTGCACTTGGAGGCATACGCCCAAGGTAAATGAAAGCGTGTGGCCACAATAAAACTTGTACACAAATGTCCCAAACGGCTTTATGAGTAATAGCCGAAAGGTGAAAACGACGTGAATGTCCCTGACCAAGTAAACAAAATGTGGTAAATCCATATGATCTGGCATACAAAGGGATGAAGTACTGACAAATGCCACAATATGGGTGTGCCTTGAAAACATTCCACTAAGTCAAAGAAGCCAGATGCAAAAGACCACCCTTGTATGACATCATTTACATGAAGCACCCAGAAAAGGCAAATCTACAGAGACAGGCAGGAGGTTAGTGGGTACCTGGAGCTTGGAGGGGACTCCTGGTGTGGTGCTGTGGGTTACTGTGCTGAACTGCAAAGTCGGTTTGAACCACAAGGTCAGTGGTTCAAGCTCACCAGCTGCTCCTTGGAAACACTACACAGGGTCGCTGTGGGTCAGAAGTAACTCAATGGCTCTAACAACAACAACAGAGCTTGGAGGATGATTAAGAGGAAATAGGAAATGAATGATAACAAGCACAGAACTTCTTTTTAAACCAATGTAAATGTTTAGGAATTAAATATTGGAGATGGTTGTACAACTCTAAGGAAATACTAAAATCCATCGAATTTTAAACTTTAGGTGAATAGATACATGTATGGTGCTGGTGGTGGTGTTCTGTGGAGTCGGTTCCGACTCATGGTGACCCTGTATAGGGTTTCTGAGGCTGTAATTCTTCACGGGAGCAGAAAGCCTCATCTTTCTTCCACGGAACAGCTGGTAGTTTCGAACTGCTGACCCTGAAGTTTGCAGTCTGATTCATAACCACTACGCTACCAGAGCTCTTTAGCAACATGAATGTTGTTGTTGTTAAGTGCCATCGAGTCAGTTCCAACTCATAGTGACCCTGTATAGAGTTTCTAAGGAGTAGCTGGTGAGCTTGAACTGCTGATCTTGTGGCCCAAACCGACCTTGCTATCCAGTGCATTAATCCACAGGGCCACACCAGGATTCCAGAAAAATATCACAACTGAGTGATCAGTAGGTGAGGGGTGTGAACAAGTACACACCCCTTGTTGTCGTTAAATGCTTCATAGTGACCCTGTATAGGGTTTCCGAGGAGCAGTTGGTGAGCTTGAACTTCAGACCTTGCAGTCCAGTGCATTAGCCCACAGTACCACACCAGGACTCCACGTACAAATAGGGGACAAATGGAATTAAAAGACAATATCATTTTCCCACAAACTTTGTGAAGCCCTCTCATGTATAAAACGGGAGGCCAAGAGCAGAGTGAGGGTCCCACGCTCAGGCAAGCCCCCCGTTCCACTTACCATTCGCAGGTTTTGAGTAGTCCTTGTTTCCACTGCTCTGAGGATCTCTCTAAATCTCCCAACTCCCCTTGTCAAGTTCCTGTGTGGACGAAGAGTTAAGCAGGCTTTCCATCTCGTGTGTATAAAACATAAGTATTTTAAATACATATTCCAATGTTTTTTTTTTTCTTTTCGTTGACATGAAAGTTGTTGGCTACATTTTAAGCAACAATTATTCTTTCCATGCCTACCTATCTTTGGTCAATTCTGAAAATTCTGACCTAGGATTGAGGAACTCACTAAACCAGAATCAAAATTTCTCAAAGTATAAAAATCTGAAAATCAGATTGGGGGGTGGGGATAGGGGAGAATAACAACAACAAATAAGAAAATAGCAAGACACGAGAGCTTATCTTCAAACTTACCGTTCAATGAATGGCTCTGTGAATGTCCTGCTTTGCTGAGTGGCACTTCACCTTATCTCTTTATTGACAAAGGGGGTGGGATTAGGCAGCACCAGACCAAAAGGAGTTTAAGAATGTCACAGGGCCCCGTACGCAGTGTGGAGAAAGGTGACGTGTGTCTTGTATATACATGTTCAGGACAAAGATATAAGGGGGGGGGGGAGGGCACCACTAAGCATCCACTCTGCATCTTTCAAGACATAAACCACTGCCTGATAAATCCATCAACCCAAGCCTCCTCCCAATCCTGCTCTGAACAAGGCCGCTTCTGAGAGCTGGCGTGTGGTGACAGGGGCCTAGATCAGAACTCAGGTCCTTCACCACACACCACACGGAGATGTGTTTGCTGACACATTTCATGAGAGGACAAACCACTCTTCTGTAACATCCTGCTCCACCTATCTGGGCCCTACTTCGTGTCCCTCTAAAACCCGTGCCCAGCCTGCTCAGCTGGGAACATCTCAGAGACAGTTCCTTTACATTGAGTGCTACCACACCTATGACATAACTCAGTGATATTTATAACCTGCTCATTAGAACACAGCTCATCTTTCCCAAAAGCCGCAGAGCGGGGTCAGCCGGTGCAGGCCTGGCAGCCAGCCTCTGCAGTTGGTGGCAGACGCTCTAGGTAGTTGGCTCTCGGCTTTGGTGGCACTTCAAATCGCACTGAAATCAAACTGAGTGTGGGGTCTGTAAGCTACAAAGACTCACCAGGGCTGTTCATCCAAAGCCTACTCCTACATGACATGCCGGTACTCTCATTCACAAGAACGGCCCTAGACCTTCCAGAAAATGGCTTATGGCCCACACAGAAGCACTCCCACCTTCCTCTCACCTACACACATCAGCTGAGAGTGGAACAGAAGCTTGATGGCGGCATAAGAAGAGAGACTCGGAGCAATGCTCAAGGAAATTTAACCGAGATGTGAATAAAATCAAGGCAACAGGCCCTAGGACACTCTGTGTTCACTTCACTTGTGTTTATGGGTCAGTCTCCACAAGCAGCAGGGTAGGTTTGCTTTGGGCTGAAGCTCGGTTCTCCTAAGTAATGTCAGAAGGAAAGAAACATGGCTGCAAAGGGGATTCAGATGGCTGTTCTAGTTTCATTTTATTCCCGAATTGCTGAGTAAGCTCCTTCATTGTTGTTAACTGCCATCGAGCTGGTTCCAACTCATAGCCAACCTGTATAGGGTTTCTGAGGAGCGGCTGATGGGTTTGAACTGCCAACCTTGTGGCTCTGTGCTTTATCCTACAGCGCCACACCGGGACTCCAAGAGCAAGCTCCTACTGTGCACAAAATATGGGAGCCCACTGGTTAAGCGCTCGCCTGCTGACTTGCAGTTGGGACCCACACAGCTGCTGCACGGCAGAAAACGCCTGCCAAGCTGCTCCTGTCAGAGCAGGGCTCAGGAAACCCCGTGGGGACAGTTCTGCTCTGTCACATCGGGTTGCTATGAGCCAAACAGCGGCTTGACAGCAACAACAACATGTACAAGAGCGGCATTTGGAAATAAGGGTGGGTCTAGGGGAATGTAATTGGAGCTGCTGATTCAGAAGGCTGCTTTATGGGCCTGAAATACCAGTTGTTGTTGCTGCGTGCCACTGAGCTGGTGCCAACTCATAGTGACCCTGCATAGGGTTTCCAGGGAACAACTGGTAGGTCTGAACCACCAACCTTTGGGTTAGCAGTTAGCACTTATCCTACATCATACCAGGACACTGGAATACCAGCAGAGACTCGAAATAGTATAATCCTGGACAGACTACAGACAGAAATCGGTCATTCAGAATGTCATCTCTCAGAATGAGGTACAGTTACAGAAGTGCAGAATTTTCCAGCTACCAGTGATCTAAAACAATACGATCCTTTATGACACAGTAGTGAAAAGACCCACCCAGCTTCACAGAACTAGCAAGAGGCAAGCTGGGGGCTATCCACCTACACACACTATCTCTATCTAGGGCAAAAGCAAGTCTGAGATCTTCTGCATCGTTAACATGCAAATTACTTAATATATACATAATATAAATCTTTGCTGTCTAGTGATCTCAGATAACGAGATATTCCTAGATTCTGGTTTAAAATTTCAAGAAAAAATCAGTTGGCCCAGGGGAGGAAGTCTGGCATCTGAGGGCAATACCGTGGGCTACCTCAGGTGATGAATGATGGATGGAGAAATTCAACACTCCTCTCAGGCGCCAGATGGTTTCTCCCGTGCAGGACCGAGGCCCTCTAGTGGACAAACGGGAGAAGTCTCCAGGCCCGAGGGTGCCACGCATGAGGGGGCAAAACCAGAGTGCCCTTTCTCAATCAGGTCTTGGAAGCGCATGCACGTTTCTCTCAATCAGTTTCCAGTTTCCTTCTGGACAGAGTACAGCATTCCGAATCCAGTTCTTCCTCAAACTGAGAAGAACCCTGCTTGTAAAGAATCCACATAAACTAAACACCGAATGGAGAAGGCCTGAGGCTGTGTGAGCTATTGTTAATGATCGTGGCTGGTCTCAGTACAACCAGAGCACACTCCACCAGTAGAGGAGAAGGGACTGGAGGGAGAAGGTTCCACACTTTAAATATCAGAAAAGGAAAAGCATCCCCAAATGCAAAAACTTAAAATGCTCAGCAAATCCTACACCACTCACATATTTTTATCACAGAATTTTATTCAACCAGTCATTTTCCACTGTTACAACAGCAGGAAAACAATTTTTTCAGCTAGAGCTTGATTTACATAATAGAAAAGGAGCAAAAAAAAAAAAAGGATAGAAAAGAACAAACAGCAAAAAAGAATAGAATCTGCAAGCATTGCATTCTAAATGCTAAAAAAGACTCCAATTTGAAGAAAATAAAGAAACCCATGCAATTCCTTTCATGTCCCTAAACTATTAGTGTATTCTTAAAATGTTTTCTTTTTCATTTTTTTAGGGAGGTATTTTATTGACCCTATTATTTGATGTGAGGAAATTGAACTTGTCGGATTTGTTAGCCGCTGTGAATCAGCGGGACAAAACGCTCCCAGTCCCACGCCATCGCCATGATACGTTTCGGAACGGATCACGGATCCACAGGGTTTTCATTGGCTGGTTTTCAGGAGTAGACAGCCAGGCCTTTCTTCCTATATTCTTAAAATGTTGTGGCCTTTAAATTTCTTGAATTCGACTGTTGCATGAAAACTTCATTCCAAAATGAAGACACGAGACCAAGGAATTTCCATGTTTCTGGGGGTTCCCACAGACTCTTGATATTATGTTGTTTTTTTCCATCTCAACGCCCTTGACTGAGAAAGCAGAGTTAGGTCAGAATTCATTATGGTAAACTATGTTCAAACAGTTGCAGACCTTGGCTTCCAGCAGACCAGCGAGCAGCAGGCCCTTTGGAAAGCTGTCAGAACTCAGGACTCATCTCCTGCACCTTGCTTAGGTGAGTTTCCCATGCTGGGTGCATGGCTCGACAAAACCTCCTTGTCAAGGAGAAAGGGCCTCAGATCCTTTGGGCCCCAGGTGGCTGTTCAACCCGACGGGCCAGTAAAATCCTGCGTTTACTTGCCAACATCATGGCCTATTGCTGACCCACCAGGGATGCGCTCAGATCAGAGTCCTGCTCAGGCCCCATGTCCTAGTGCTTCAGGGAGACACACATCCTGCTCCTCCCTCGACCTACTTCTATTTTTTCTTCTTTCCTCCTTTTCCCTCTGGTTTCGTCATCCTCCTCAGAGCCTCTTCCTTCCAGGCCTCGCTGTCTGCTGGCCTTTATGTCTGTGATAAACAGGACTTCCGCACTGACCCCACAGGACACTAGCACTGGGCCCCCGTTTAGCCTCTCTTCTTGAACTAGACTCCAGTCCCCACCTCGAGCCCTCAGCAACACAGATGAACGTGGTGTACAAATGATAAGTTCTTACAAGCTCACAGCAGTGTCCGGCTCTGTGCTGCTCTTGTCTACAATTCTGAACAACATCTGTCAACACTCTGACCTATCAAACCACAGGGAGACACACATGGGAAGGAAGCCAGAGCTACAGCATCAGAACTGGGTCATGGAAAACCAAGGCTGAGGGGATACTTAGGCTCTTGAGGGTCATCTCACTTCATGATAGGTGGTCACTTTAACGCTAAGCTCAATACGAGCAGTCTTCAAAACATTCGTGGAAAAAATTCCATTAGTCTTTAAGTTCCATTTTCCCACTTTTTGAAGCCCCTTCATACATTTCATTTTGTGTAGGGGAGGGTGGAAAGAGACAATTCATCCCCTTAACCTAGCCTTCTGGTCTTAATGTTTGGCCCAAACACCAGCACACTTCAGTGTTAACTCTCAGTGTCATGAACACTCCAGTTGTGAAGGAAACCACACACTTTTTATACTGGATGTCAATTGCTCAGTAAAAAGGAAAAGAGGACCCCCTGCTAGAATATATTCAATATTTTCATCTTTGTCTGTGGCTGAGAACTTTGTAACTACAGATCAATTACAAAACAAATCAGCACAAAAGGTAACTCAGAGCTAAGAAACCATCTCAGAGCATGAAACCATTTGGTCTTTTCTTGTATTTTCTTAATTTTCCTTCAGAAGTCTTAAAGCCAACTAGCACTTTGCACATTTCTTAAGCAGTTGGTGATTCCAACAATTTTGAGCACTATT